GGTTTCTAAAAATAAGCATTACCCATCAGAAAAAAACACTAATTTTAAAAAATGGCATGTTTATACTGTCATAAATGTATTCCCTGGTATATAAAATATATCTTTAACGTGAGAAGTTTGAGATCATTTCTGAGTCACAGCTTGGTTCTTTCTCTACCTGTGTCCCATGCAAAGCAACACATAAAACAGCTAAATTCCATATTGTAGGGAAGATAACAAGAATCTGCATTTATTTCCAGTAAACTCTGTGTAGTTTCATGTCCTATCACACTATCTCTTCCACCTCTTCAGCTCCAGGTCCTGGATAACTGAACCCATTCAAACACAGTCTCAGCTTCCCCTTTAGTGTTAGATGATTTATTGTAATTTGGAAGCGTGAACATAGAAAACTGGGGATCTATATCCTTATCATTTGTGTTTGCTGGATGCTTCTTCTCCAAATGAGATGCACCAAGTGCGTTCAGGTGTTGGCGATGGTCCCACACAGGTAGAGACAGGTAGAGAGAAGTTCTTCTTAACAGAGAAGAAATCTGAGCATCTTGCATGGGGAAACAACTTATTCCACTTGCAACAAAGGACAAAACTAGCTCTTGTATTTGTACTTATACTTACAGTTCCTTACCTGAACGTGAGACTCCCAATATGGTGTCATTCACATCTTGATGTAGGGAACAGGGATTTATGCTGGAAGTTGAGTTGGCTGAAGAAGCTCTGTGTGATGCTGTCTCATACTTATAACTGAAAACACATAACAGTAGGTTTAGAAGCAGAGCTCAGCAGGGAAATACCAGTGCAGTAGGGCAGGAAGCTCTGACTGCTGTTTTCCTAAATAGAGAGGTACCTTTGATTAAATATCAATTAACAGTGCTTCTGAAGGAGCAAATAAAAAGATTATTTAAGCACAGTTTGGAAAACTGAACCGCTAAAATGAAAAAAACAAATAAAACTTAGAATTCTCTGTCTGAAAGAAATAATATTTTAAGCTGGAAAATTTGAAAGGGCTTGTGAAAGTAACTCAGTATTTAATTTTTGGTGTCAAAATTTATGGTCAGGTCCAAGTGAGCTCCCTATGCTGATCCAACAATAAGCAGAAAGAGAGGAATCTTTAGAGTGTGAGTGAAGGTCCCTTTGCATCTTTGATATGTATTTTGATCTGTTCAGCTGCCTTAACATGATCCCTTTCCCAGATACGAGCACTGCTGAGGTGCAAAGTACAATTAGCTTTAGGAGAACAACATGGTAAAGCACACATTTTGCTTCTAGGAACTGGGCCGACTCTGTTAGACCAGGCAGGCTTATTTTTCAGGTTGAAACAAAGAGCAGTCATCAGAAGAGACAGTGCAGAACAGTTTCCTTACAAGTGTTGGGGCCCAGGTTTGTGAATTGCCCAGTGTTCATGAATGTGATACATTGTTTGTCTTAAGACAAACTAATGTAAAACTTATGAGAAGTCTGACACTAGTGCAAGATCCACTAACATGAAAAAAAGCATTAATCAGTTTTCTCTTTACAGTAGTATGCCTAAAATTATTCTAATACTTTTAGGGACCAACAGAAATATGCCTTACTCTATATGCTATCACTATGCCCAAGCCATGGCTGGAAGCACTATCACATATAAGCAACATGCCTGGAGCATGGAAAAGATGAATAAAAATTAGCTTAACCAGATATGGAAAATCAGTTTAACCAGCCATGTGCATTTGGAACAGGAAAAAACCTGGTACTTGTTCTACCAGCACTGGTCCCTCTGCAGGTTTTGTGTGAAGCTGAGGCTGCTCTGTGTGAGGAGCAGCTGTTTGCCACAGGAGAGCAAAATGCACCATCTTTCACAATAAGGCTCTGGTTTCTTCTTTCGGGGAGGAGGATTTCTTTCAATGAGGATCTTTGTGTGTTGTTTTTTTCACTGAGTAAGCTCTGAATCCCTGACTTTACCTGAGTTGCCTGTTACTGTAAATAAATTCCTACTGCAGGTTGAGATGTCCCTCAGTATGAAGTTACCTGCTCAGAGCTTGGAGAACCTATTCCAAACAGCACAGATTTATCTGGAAATCACATAGGTGCATTCTGTATTTCTCATACATTTACTGTGGTTCATAATGGTTTGGTTTTCCTGGCTACATGATCCTGACATCTCTATTAGCAACCAGTGATGCCACATTCTTGGGCTTTCTCATTTTCCCAATAAGGTGTTCTTACTGTTTGCCAAAATTCATTAAAGCATTAACACCAGCATAGTAGCCAACTTGAAGATTTTCAAAGAATAATGTATTTTGTTTGAAACTTGAATTTTCATAAGATTTTTATAGTCGTTTCCCCCTGAGAAAAAATTTTCTAGCATCATTTCCTTCTTTACCTCATTTCTGAACACATATGAGTGACAACTAAAGCATTGTGATTTTCCCATTTTTTGAGAAGTTGAAGTTTCACTTCAGAGAAACCATATTTTTACAACCAGATGTAACGAACATTCATCATCACAGTAGGGATGTGTGTGGCAAGCGTGGTTCATTGCACACTGAGGTGAGGTTCTGTAGGCCTTTGGATATCTAAGAATTAATATACACCAAGTTTCATTTAAAAACCAGAAAGCAGGATGCAATTCCAATCATAGGTTACCCAAATTAACCTTGATTAGTACTTACTATCCCATGAAGAAATGAGGCATTGCTGACAAAAAGCATCCCAAAGCCATAGTAAAGCATCCCACAGCTATTACTTTGGGTCTATGAAGTTTGGCTCCGAAGTAGCTCACAAATGCAATCACCAGCAGGTTACCTGGGAGAAAATGAACCAAAATTAGTGCCAGATGCTGTGTCTCACACTCCTCTGAGCAGTTTTCTGCATGTTATGGAAATCAATTACCCATCTCAAAGCTTCCATCGACGAAACCTGCAGTGGATGATGTCAGGTCAAACCTTCGCTCAATCTGGGTGATGGAGCTTTTCATAATCACACCAGAAAATGTTTTACTGAAGTAACTGAATGATAGAGCAGCCAGAAATGCCTGAGGAAAGATTAAGACAGAAAATGGGAGGTAGAGGCACAGAAACCAGTCACAGAGGGAACAAATGTGCTTAAAACTATGTGGGACAATCACCACCACGATATACCTTTGTTACTCAAATTGGAATGGCGATGTTGTGGGTGAATTTTCAAATACCCTAAGACTGCAGGGTGCCAGGGTGGCATCTCAGAACATTTTGCTCCCTGCTCTGGTTTTCCCTGATGCAGAAGGGGTGGTAAGTGCTGCACTGAGAGCAGCTGCTTGCTTGAGGATTCAGGTTTGCAATAGCCACCTTAATTGCCAGAAAACCTGATCTTCCCAGCTTTGCTGTCCAGAGGTTTCTAAAGTGGAACTGAGGACCTTAAATTTGACAAAGAACTCACTGGTCACCACTCACCTTACTGGCATCTGTGATTAAATTTATCACAAAGCTGAGCACCAAAGCTGGGCAGCCAAAATGGTGCCAAAGCTGTTGCAGAAACGTAAAATTTGCCAGAGGTAAAATAGCTAATCAGGATAGATTTCCTGACACTAGTCCAAATCAAAGTTATTTGGGTTGCATGTCGTTTATTTTAGGTCAGTTCATAACTGCTTCTAACTCAATTGTATAGATAGCCATGGCATCAAAATAGAGGCTTTATGCAAGTTTTTATGATATTCCCATATGTGGAAGGCAATACAGATGGACTGAGTTCATCTCTGTCTCAGATTACATATTTTGAAATGTTGCCTGTATACTATACAACTCACAAGGAAAAGCTTAATACTCTTTGTAATTTTATAGTTGCTTCGACTAACACACATTGTGGCTTTGGCAAATAAAGATTTATTTGCTAAAAAGTTAAACTAAGTTTGTTTAAATATTATCCAACTATTTCCACATAGGCTAAAAAACAAACTGACTTATTGCTCACTGGGCAGAAGTTCCAATACAACAGAAACTTGGGTAAGTAAACAAAGTAAATATAGATTTAGACTTTGCAATATTATCTACCGTAAAAAACTAGGGCAATCCAGGAAACAAAAGTTTGAAAACAGACATATTTACTCTCTTTTCATCAGAAGTGAAGAGAAAAATCTCCCGAATGTGAGCTTTGCCCTGACATGTTCTATATTTCCTGAGCTTGACTGGCAAAATTCTGAGAACCACCTTTTGTGCCTTATGCCAGCAGCACTCTCAGGGGGCTTTGACTGGAATCACAAACTACCGATAAGCACAAAAACACAAACAAAAATGACCTGAATATTTTGTGTTTGAAAATGCAACCCCCAGGTCAGCCATAAAACATTTGATAAGATGATGAGGGATAATAGCAGCTTGTCTTTTATTCCTTCCACATTATAGTGTGTATTAAGCTCTAACTGCCATAGAGTTAGACACGGATCTGCAGTCTTGCTTATTGCCCACATATATGATGTAAAGTTAGTCCTGTGAGTCTCCTAGAGAGGTCAAATTCTATTTCTGCAGGGGTATATTGGTGGCAAACGTAAGTCAGATAAAATAAGAAGAACAACAACCTTTGCCTGATACTTAAACCAAACTATTTTGGATGTTTGAGAAACTTGCAATTACATATTTTTTTCCCATTAATCTTTCATTTTACAGACCTTTTTATCGAGAGAAATGTGACCCTAATTGCAACTTCACCGAGTCTATGAAATTTAACTGGAGATGAAGCTGGCTCAAGATTTAGTCAAAACATAAGCCCAAACACATCAGTGTTGGAAGAAATCTTGCCCTTGCAGTATTTGCAGCTCAGCCAGAAGCAATAAATACTAAGGCCTTAACGTGGTAAAGAATTTCTCATTAGTTTACTTGCTTTGATCAGTCCGTTCTTCTTGTGCATTCCTGGAAGCCTGTGTGCTTGTAGGAATCACCGGATTGTTTGACCTACAGCCCTGGGTTAGATAAAAGTCCTGGAATACAATTCACCTCACACTATTTTGGCCCTACAAGAATGAGTGGTGACAGAAACCTCAGGGCAAGTGTTTTGTAGACACCTATTTCAGGTTAGCTCAAGTCTCCCACTGGAGTTTGCTGCCTCTCTCTAACGACCTAGAAGAGGAACCACCTACGAGTAACTTGTAAGTAAATATGGCGGATCAGGAATTTTTATTTTCTTTAGGACAAAGGTAAGATCCGACTATCCCCTGTACCTCCAGTATATATCCAGCTCCAGAAAAGATAGGGGGAAGAGGAATGGAGGGATTTGGCATGCCACACCTTGAAGAACATTTCTTAACATATAGCAACAGAGATATCATGGTGATATCGATAAGGCATCACACCTTCAATCCACTGCAAGAGGAAGTCTTCTTTTTGACTGGTGGAGTTTTGTTTTCTTCATCGTCTAAAGGCTGGTTGGGTTCTGCTTCCTGATTTGAGCCATTGACATCACTGGATTTGGTTTCCACCGTCATGGTTGATTTCTTTACGGAGTGATCTGAACCTGGGAGAAAATGAAAATAAATACAAAAGCACATATGCCAAAATAGAGTTGCTTAAGGACTTTTCTGATGAAGCAGCAGCTATAGGAAAATGCTGAGATGTTGAAACTGAACCTTTCCATTGAAAACAATTTGGCTCTCTGACTTGGGTGTTTCAAAGTGTATATTTCTTTAAATTCTGAAATATCTTGTTTTGACCTTTTTTCAAGAGAAATGGAAACCACCACCCCACCCCTTCCAGTCTTTTAATGCCAAAAAGGCAATTTCCACAAAAGAGTAAGGGACAAAGTCTCTGTCCAAAAATAAACTACAAGGGTCACCAAAGCATCAGTGTTGAAGCAGGAGTCCTAGGGAAGCTCTAAACTTGTAGTGGCTTAGGACTCCATCAATTTGGTAAAATCTCTGTAGCAACACACGACTGATTTCTCTACACTAATCTGTTGGAAACAATCCTTAATGACAAAAGAATTCGTTAATTTAGCTAATTGTCCTCCTATGAGTAGGTCAGTTTTTTCTTCTTGCAATAATATACAGGGTATCCCTAATGCCCTTCTGTTTGCAGAGTGCTGTCTGTATGCCCTGATGAATGTAGTCATCTGCAACTCAGCAGTTCAGCAGAACTGCTCCACTTCCCCCAGGAACAGCACATCCTGTAGCCATAGACAACAATATATCCCTTGAAATAACATTTTTTTATTGTTGAAAGCCTTGTTTTGTTATTAAGTTGAATTTTGTTTTATTGCAGTGAATGGTTCAACACTTCACTTTTTTATTTTTTTGTGTCTTTTTATCTTTTAAAAACCCAATTAAAAAGAACACTTCAGGGAAAAGCTGCAAGGGAAGTCTATATATCTGTTTGCAAAGTTTATTTAAAGAATGAAAACACTTGCCCGTTTGTGCAACTCCAACTACAAACAGAATAGATTTCCAAAGGACAATCCAGATGCCACTGCAGAGCCCCTCAGAAAATAACAGCTCACTTGAAAGAAGTCATCTTCAGATCTGCAGGTGGGAATATTGCATTTTCTATTAGAGTATTGAAACTAATATCCCCAAATCAGAACTCAGAAATCATAACTCACGTGATCTGTTTCACCTTTCACAATACTCCTCTCATTTGAGATAAAGGTGGAGAAGGCAGAGAGTGGAAACAAATCACACAAACTGAGGTTTTCTATGCTTGAATGGAGTTGAAAAAAGTTGGATGAAGTTTTCCAATGCTGGAAAAGGTCCATCTGCTTTCTCACTGCTAATATCTACTTCCCAAACTCTTCTGTGGCTATGCTCTAAGTCTGGGTCAGCACATGTATCAGGACAAAAAAAAAAATCTTTTCCCTCCCCTTGGCTATTCAGACAGATAGGAAAAAGAAGTAGAAAAAGGATTTCCCCAAGTCTGCACAGCTACCAAGAGAAATGTTATGAAATGAGATTCTTAGCGCTCAGGAAATGTTAGTACACAAATACTTTTGAGCATCTGGTCCTCTGAAATTCATCTGTCCCTGTGTCATCTGAAGACATTATCTTCTCTGTGTTACTATGATACACTGACAACCACCATAAGATGCTGGAGGAGCATATCATTGCAGGTCACAGGATTAAAGTGGCTTTTTTGAGAGTTTGAAGGTATAACCCGACTTAGCATCTCAGCATAAGGAGAGAAGGAGTGAGGATAGAAATTAGAGGAAAAGCAGATAGAAGAGAAAGGCAGTCAGTTATCAGTCAGATATGAGGCGCCTATCCCATAAAAAGTGTTTCTGAGAAAGGCTGTGAAGGAACAAGAAGGGAGGACAGTAAGACTGAAAAGTGTGAGCCTAAATATTAAAGAACAGGTTGAGTAGTTAGATGCAAATAGTGAAAAAGGCATCCAGAGAGAGAGGTCAGGGTACTGGGCAAGATAAGAAATAAAACAAAGAGAAGAAAGTAAAATAAAATGCATCTTCATGGGGTAAAAGCTTCTTGATGCACACAGGGAAGTGTGAAGCCAGCTAGGAAGTGGAAATTAGTTGTCTCAGCACTGTCAGTGCTCAGCTCCTCCAGCAATCCAGGGGAAGGCCTCAGACAAGAAATGGGTGACCAGCTCGTGTCAGTAGTGAATGACACATCTTATGAGTGCTTTGCAAAGATGCTGTGGGATGTGGTGTTACTTTTGCTTGTGACGGCTAGGACAGAGGGGAATGAAGCAAAAAGATGATGCAACTGTGCTGGAGAAATATTAGAGCAAGCTACGAGCAATGATCAACAGTTGGAGCCGCTGGCAGCATCTCCTCCCATCCTCAGTTGACCCTGACCAATGCAGCCATCTGCTGGAGATGGAAGAGTTCAGGGCTGGGGAAATTCCAGGTCATAGGAAAGTTAGAAAAAAAGATAAAAGATTGATTCACAACTGATGTCCACATACAGCTGCTGAGCCTGACAATTTCAGGTATTGATAAAGTTGTTATTTCAGATTTATTTCACTATTGTTTTTTCATGTTTAATAAACTGAGAATCTGGTTGCAAAGCAAAAATATGAAGCTTTCTGCAACAGATATGCCCTTTCATTAATAGGATTCTCTAAAAGTACCATTCTTTGCCTGCACAAGCCACTCTGCTGTAGTAGTGACCTGAGAGATTTGCATTTGCAGAAAGACAGGTTTAGTCAAATAACCTATTCTTTGGGTAGTCAGTCAACCTGAACAAAAATTAGCCTGACTTTCTTCCTGGGAAAAGAAAACAATCCTCTCCCCAAAGACAAGCATAAAGAAAAAAAATCCACCAAAATCCCCTAAGCCATACTTTGAGAATAAAATTTGACACACTTCCTGTTCATTTTTGCAACATATCCAGGGAACATTTGAAAAATTGGTTTGATTTTATGCTCAGTACAGTCTCTTCTGAGAAATGCTTTGAGTGGGGAAGATCAAGGGTCTCAACTAATAACCATTGTGGATCATTTGTGTTGGTGGGAGCTGACAACTTTCCCAAAATCATGGGAAATCATGCAGCACCTTACAATGCAATTTCAGAGTGAATGCAGCCAGCCTTGCAAAGGACAGCTGCAGACATCTTCAGTGCTTCAAGGTATATGACCTTATAGGGGCCATGGCCGGCCTAACTCTGAGCTTGTTAGGTAAATCTACTCCCTCTGAATATATTAAAAAAAATTAAAACTTCATTTTATACTCCCAAATTATATGAAAATTATAGTGAACAAGAGCAGCAATTAGAAAGCCTTAGCATGAATAACAGGTATTTAATTCACAAAGGTCAAGACAACAGTTCGCTACAAGTCTTGTAGATTCTTACAAAAGAAAAATATAGTGATGTTTGAGGAATATTAAGAATCCAGCAAAGCCCTTGGGCTGCTTGTCTCCACCCTCAGGTTGCACTCGCAGGGACCATGCCACCACCCAGCAGAATAAAAAAGTCACAAATCAAGATCCACATTCCCTCCAGTAATTTATGGAAATGTAATGATTTACACTAACTGTAGTGCTAATACAATTGTCTTATTGACAACAATCTTATTGATTTTTAAACAGAATTATAGTAAGACCTTTTAAGTTAACCTAATATGAAAAATTATTATCACAGCCCTGTGCAGATCCCAACGCTGCTCACGTTGTTCAAGACATAATTACTGTTCAGGGACACACGTGAAAATGTGTGATGCCATCATTAAAGCATTGACAGTTTCAACAGGAACACTACTGGTGTTACTGGTTACAGGAAATGCAATTAGTAGGACACAGGTAATGTTCATTAGCTGTAAACAATGACAACATTTTATGGTTAAGATAAACAAAAAGAATATTAAAGAGGTTCCTACCTAGGTTCTGTGTCCACAACAACAGCAGTTATACTACCACATGAATGCTCAAAAGTCAGAGTATTCTCTCCTTAAGCAAAGCTGTGCTGGTAGTTGGTAGAAGAATCATTAACTTCCAACACAAACTAAATTAAACATTTTAATCTCGTCTCCTCCCATTCTGCCCTCTGTTTAAGGTCCCAAAATACATGTTTATCCATGTTTATCTGTGGTCAAAATTTAATTAAGAAGAAAACCTGCAAGTGTGTTCTTTTTGTACATTCTTGTAAAACATCTTTTTTATTCCTGAGCTTGTCTAGATTATAATGGTTCATACTTTCCTGGCATTTAAAAGTAGGGTGTCCCAACTTCAGAAACGTTTCTGGTTCCAATGCATTTTGGAATGAAGTCTTATTTTCATAGTCTACGGCTGAAGTCCACTGAGTTCAGACCTGCTTGAGCCAGCCAAGGACTTGCAGGAGGAGAAAATACTATGCCTTGGATATATAGAACAAACTGGATGTTCAAGAAACGCTCACGCTTAGAAGACTGTTTAGGTTTATAGTTTAGTGCTGTTAACAGCACACCCACACCAAATATCAAAGTATATTGGGGCTATGTGTACTTTGGAGCAACCCTTTACATACTTACAGCCCTAGTTCAAGGAACTGGTTAATGAGAAATATTTTATTTGATTGTACCCCTCTTGTGCATTCTGTCTGATTGTACTTAATTGTACTTAAAAGATAAGTCATTCTTAAAGCATGTGAACTACTTCTACTGTTTGCCTGGATGTTACACCAAAATGTGCCATTCCTGGTAGTTCATGCCCCCTTCCCTGCCACCACTT